GTTTGTTTTTAAATTGCCAGTGTGCGTCATATGTACCAGCATTGGATGAACGTGTGCTCAGTCACTTAGCTCTTTATATATATAGATATTCAGTATCTTGTTCAATATAGATATCCAAGAATCGTTTGCTGCACTGAATATAAAGCTGTGAGTGCTCCGACACTCACAAATCACATTAGGAAAATTTAGTTAAATATTCACATTGACTAGTTTTCTTAATTCAAGTGTTTGCAGGTCAGAAAATCAGCCAGAATAAATTTAAATGTTTTCTTACTAACATTTGTTTACTTGAAATTGTTTCAGACTTATATTTTCAAAGATTTTAACATATAACATTGCAGTTTCTAAAATCATTGGCTTATTTTTATTCTTGACTGAAGTGAAAGTAGGCAATAAATGTATATATACCACTGAGATAAATGAAAGTAGAATGACATTTCTTTAAACATTTATGCCAATAAGCACACACACACATTCTATGACACCTGAACAAGCTGTTCCTTCTCTCTCCTCATTCGCTGTTTCACGATTCCCACAGAGGCCACATCAGAAACACTGGAATTCCTTTCATGCCTCTTTGCATGCCATCAAAGTAAATAGTAATTAATTGGGGGTTTTCCCTCTGCCATAGTCCTAACATTAACTCCTTCTTTTCCAACCCACTGCCACTCTAGCTAAGATCAACCCTCAAGTTCAAATTATACTTATTGCCTCTTAATTCCTCTCCCTTCCCTTTCTTTCTTGCCCATCCTTTCTTTCTTCCTTTCCTCTGCTCTTTCTCACTCACTACATCCATTCATCCATCCATCCAACCAAACAGCATCGTTTTAGTATCTATTATGTTCCAGGTAGTGTTATTGGGATACAACAGTGAGGAAGACAGACAAGGTCCCCGCTCTTTCAGAGTTTTCTCTTGGTTCCTCACATATGCTATCTAATAAAAGAGAAACATGGTAATTAGCCATACCTCCGCTACCCTTCCCATTGGCTAATCAGGGCGATATGCAAATTAACTGCCAGCCAAGATGGCGGCCGGCAGCCAGGCAGCTTGAAGCTAACATGAGGCTTGCTTGCTTCAGTGACGGAGGACCCCAGCATTCCCTGCCTGCCTTGCCGGCCTCTGAGCTTGCAGTTTTAGAAACATTGTTACAAATATAGAAGCTAAACAAAACCCCAGAAACCTGCTTTCAGCCAGCCGGGATCTCAGAGCTGGAGTTGATGCAGTGTTTCGATTATAGAACCGAAACAAACCAGATACCTGCTTTCAGCAGCAGAGGCCTCAGAGCTGGAGCCAGAGCTAAAGCTGGCCCAGATAAAAAAAGAAAAAAGAAAAAAAGGAGCAGTTGGGAGCTTCAGTCACCAGCCAGCCTGAAAACAGCCCTCAGCCCCTCACCCAGACTGGCCAGGCACCCAGTGGGGACCCCCACCCTGAAGGGTGTGTGACCAGCTGCAAACAGCCATCATCCCCTCATCCAGGCTGGCCAGGCACCCCAGTGGGGACCCCCACCCTGATCCAGGACACCCTTCAGGGCAAACCAGCCGGCTCCCACCCATGCACCAGGCCTCTATCCTATATAGTAAAAGGGTAATATGCCTCCCAGCACTGGGATCAGCGGAGCCGAGAGGCCTCCCGGCACCGGGATCAGCATGACAGGGGGCAGCGCCCAAACCCCCTGATCGCCCTGTGGCTCTGTATGTGACAGGGGTCGGGGCCACAACCTCCCTATCCACCTTGCTCTGTTCGTGACAGGGGAAGGCGCACCAACCCCCTGATCAGCCCTGCTCTGTGCCTGATAGCGGGGAGCTCCCCAACCCCCTGATCGCCCTGCGGCTCTGTGTGTGACAGTGTGCGGCGCCCCAACCCCCGATCGGCCCTGCTCTGTGCGTGACAAGGTGCGGCGCCCAAACCCCCCATCCCCCACGTCCCTGCTCTGTGTGTGATGGGGTAGAGCCATAACCTCCCCATCGGCCCTTCCCTGAGTGTGAGAGTGGTGGCGCCCCAACCCCCTGATCGGCCCTGCTCTGTGGGTGATAGAGGGCGGCGCCCCAACCCCCTGATCCGCCCTGCTCTGTGTGACAGGGGGTGGTGCCCCAACTCCCCTATCAGCCCTACTCTGTGCGTGACAGGGGGGAGCTCCCCAATCCCCTATGGGCCCTGCTCTGTGTGTGACAGGGTACGGAGCCCCAACCCCCCTGATGGGCCCTGCTCTGTGAGTGACAGGGGGCAGCGCCCCAACCCCCTGATTGGCCCTGCTCTGTGTGTGACAGGGGGTGGCTCCGCAACCTCCCCATTGACCCTGCCTTGAGTGTGACAGGGGGCGGTGCCCCAACCCCCCATCGACCCTACCCTGATCGTGACTGAGGGTGGCATCGCAACCTCCCAATCCGCCCTGCTCTGTGCATGACAGGGGGAGGAGCCCCAACTCCCCAATCGGCCCTGCTCTGAGCCCGACCAGGGGCTGCACCTAGGGATTGGGCCTGCCCTCTGCTACCCGGGAGCAGGCCTAAGCCAGCAGGTCGTTATCTCCTGAGGGGTCCCAGACTGAGGAGGGCACAGGCCGGGCTGAGGGACCCCCCTCCTCCCCCCCGAGTACACAAATTTTTGTGCACCGGGCCTCTAGTCTATATATATAAAAAGCTAAGTGTCCATCCACCCAACCAGTAACTATGATGCACACTGACCACCAGTGGGCAGATGCTCAACACAGGAGCTGTCATGATGCGCACTGGCTATTTAAAAATAAACAGCACCACAGACCTGGTGCTAACAAACCAACACTTGGCTTCCCCCAAGTGAGACACAGGCCCCGCCACCACCCCAGAGCACCACCCCACCAAATCGCAACCAATGCTGCCAAGAACCCATGGTGCAAATGTGACCCAAAGCCCAGCCCAGCCCAGACACGGTCACTGTGGGCGCCGGGTAATGACATCACATAGCAATGCCCGACTTCCTCTCCCTAGCAACTAGCATCATTGGAGTTTCTTCAGCCCAGGAATACAACTTGCTTTACAGTCAGGCACAAACATTTTTACACTTTAACTGAATGTTTGTGGAGCGTTTTCACATGCCTCATCTCATTTCACCCTCACAGAAGTCCTAGAGTAGGTAGATAGGAAACTCAGTAGAATTTATTTTCTTTTCATTAGCAAGAAGTGAATAGCGATATTAAAATATTTATTCTAATTAATTTCCTTTCAATGTGCATGAATCCATGCACCAGGACACTAGTATTCTATATTTAGCTATAAGGCACATTTTCCCATTGAACTGTTTTGCCCCTTGCCAACTCCACTCAAAAATATCTGTTTGCTTTCCCCAGACTGAAGCACTTTATGGCTGGCTTTCCAAGATCCTCTGGGATTTGGCTCCATTCTATCTTTCCAGCTGAATCTCCTATTTTTTCACTATGCACATCCTATACTTCAGCTAAACCTGAGCATGTGCTTTAAACCTTGTCTATGGCAAAATGGATGAGGCACCTTATGATAAAGTTACTGGTTGAATGCAGTAACAACAAAAACCTAATACAAGATAATAACATAAAAAATAAATAGTAAATGAAGGAAGGAAAACATAGGCTACTCACCACTTCTCACAACTATTTTATGATTGTTTTATTAGTGCCATAGGACATACCCAGAGACATAGCATAGGGCTTTTCTCTTGAGGCAGCATATGCCAATCACTCTGGGAAAAGGTGAGTGTGGGACATAAAAGGAGAGGCCTTAGAGCTATAGAAGAAAAGGACCTCCTCTTATTTCTGGGGTTAAGAACCAACCAGAAAGGAAAAAGTCCTTTGTGGAGAGTCTCAAAACAGAGAGCAGTGAGCTGCCCCAGGCATTTGGAAGTTTTGGTAGACCAGAAGCAAAGGGCAATGTAAGCCTCTATTAATCAGTGGCACTGACAACCAACAACAGCATAGAAAAGCAGCTGGTTTCTGGAAGGACCACATTAAGGAAGCTACTGTGGCATCCTCCAATCTGAACAAGATGCATCGAAGTTCTGGCTCAACTAGCACAACAGAAACCAGTACTAATGCTTTGAACCCAAGGCTAGAGTTGGAGCCTAAGGACAGTGTTGAGAAGAGGGCCAGCCCTGGCCAGGTGGTTCAGCTGGTTATGGTTAGAGAGTCGTCCTATACACTAAAAGGTCTTGGGTTCCATTCCCGGTCAGGGTACATACCCAGGTTTCAGGTTCGATCTCCTGGTCAGGGTGTGTATAGGAGGCAATCAATCAATGTTTCTCTGTTACACTGATATTTCTCTCTCTCTCTCTCCCTCTTCCTCTCCCTCCCTCCCTTTCCCTCTCTCTCTCCCTCTCCCTTCCTTCTCCCTTCCCTCCCTCTCCTTCTCCCTCTCTTTTCCTCCTCTAAAAATAATAGTAAGAGCATATTCTCAGATGAGAATTAAAACAAAAAAGAGGAGTGGGCAGAGGGAATGAACCTGAGACCATGCATGAAATACACAAGGCAGCACAGAAGAAAACTTGCAAATAGCTAGAGGACACTCTAAAGTGGCCAATTTCTAATAGGCCGAGGAGATTTGCGACGTAATTTGTATATAAGAAGGAAGTACAATTTTATTTTGTAGTTACGGGCAGATGACATTAAGGACCTAAAGGCTATATTTTCACTCTTTTTTAAGGACAACCATCACTATCATATTTGTGTGCCTACCTTTCCCCCTGATGAGATAGTGAGATCCTTTAAAGCAGAAATTACATCCACTGTAAGACACAACTTCCCATGAGTTGCTTTGCCCTTTGCCAAATTTTACAAGTTGTTGCATTTCCCACAAAACATAATGAGTCTTCACATAGTAGTAAAAAACTATTTTAATGAATAAGTGAACTGATCTTTATCCTAGGTGAAGTGCAATTAGTGCTGAAAAAATATTCTACATGAAAGAATACATGTTGCAGGTACAATAAGAATAATGTTACCAAAACCGTAAGTGCATATAAAATTCTGTCCTTAAACAAAACAAAATCAACTTACTAGTGATCATTGCTCCAGTTACAGAAGCCAGAAATCCAATGCTGACTGCAATGACGGAGATCACTCTCCCCTGCCTATGCCTCTGCAGCATGACAAACATCAGCACTCCCGCAGCACCATGGACAAACAGAGAGGAGAAGAGAGCCCAGAGAAAGATCCAATACCACATCTCTGAAAGGAAAAGCAAAGTGTTAATAATTCTGTAGAAAAATATCTTAGAAAATTCAATTTAACAAATTGTGAGCACTCCTGGTTTGGGGAAGGTTAAATGAGATAATAGATACAAAAATGCCTACTACAGTACCTGACACATAGCAGTACTAAATAAATTTTAACAATTACCATCCTTGCTAATGCTTGATGGGAAAATAATTCTCTCCATGACTTCAGAAGGTAAGGCTACACACTAATTTCCTCTAAATATTTCCATTATGTAGCCATAGTGCATCAATTTGTCTAAGACACCCCTCATATATTTTCAAATCTCCTTAAGTTAATTGTACAACTTATTACTGTTTGATATGTAATTTTCTATTTTCTACACTAAATAGCGGTGCTAAGACATTTAAAAATCTATTCCTCAATTCAAATCATTCCAGAAATTAGTCAGTAAATTTATCTTTTATAATTTTAAGAATTTCATGTGATTCCCACCTTGGCTCTCAACTTTATATACATTATTAAAGAGTCAGAATTTTTTATTTTATTTTATTAAGAATTCTTTACCTTATATAATTTTAATAGTCTTTACCCAAAACTTTCAACTCCATTATTCTTCAATATATCCTCAATTACTGTTCACAGTTGAGTTTATAGAGTTAATGAGCATACCTTTCATTTGGTCTCTCTAGCCTTCATTCCCTTTCTCTCTGACAATCGCAGCCTCCCAGTTGATGCACACAGCTCCCATAGATATTGCTTAGCCCTCGCATCAGCTCCAGTTTCCTGACCATGCTTGTGGTCAGGCATATTAGGGCAGGCCATTGAGGCCAGCCATGCCAGTCATTCCCTTCCCCTGGGAGTCCTGTACTGGGACCAATTGAGCAAGTAGGTCTTTGGGAGGCTGAACCCAAAGGGTCCATGATTTGTAAAGAGCCATTTCATCATCTCTGTATATAAAAGCCTAAGTGACCATTCAACTGGTAGCTATGATGCACACTGACCACCAGGGGGCAGACGCTCAATGCACAGGCATGGAAACATGGAACAGACTGAGGAATCTCAGAGAGAAGGGGGGAAGGGGGAGGGCAGGAAGAGACTAATCAAAGATCTTATATGCATACTAGAGGCCCGGTGCACAGATTTGTGCACTGGTGGGGTCCCTCAGTCTGGCCTGTGGGGATCAGGCTGAAACCAGCCCGGTGTACAGATTCTTGCACCAGTTGGGTCCCTCGGCCTGGCCTGTGGGGAATGGGCCGAAACCGGCAGTCCGACATCCCTGAGGGGTCCCAGATTGCGATAGGGCACTGGCCAGGCCGAGGGACCCCACCAGTACACAAATCCATGTACCAGGCCTCTAATCATGTGATAAAAGCCACCATAAACAGTGAAAAAACAACAACAGGTCCATCAAAGACTAGAGACAACCAAGTTCCATTTCTAAGGCCCTGCCACATTCCATCCTCAGATTCCATCTCAGTTTCCTTGTAATAAAATCCCTCTTTTTATTTAAATTAGTTCAGATAAGGTTTCTGTTACCTATAGCTAAAAGAGCTAACTCTAGAATGTTTAGATGTCACCTTGATATTTATCCTTGTTATACAAATGTTCTATATGCAAAATATTTCGCCTGCTATTTGTGCTAGTATTCACTCTATGGAATATAAAAGTCAATAAAAGTCAGAAAATAAAAATGGATAAATTAAAGCTTATTTATTCCATACAATGGAATAATATTACTCAGCTTTAAAAAGGCAGCAATCCTGTCATCTGCTCTAACATGGATGAATCCTGAGGATTTTATGCTAAATAAAATAAGCCAGTTACAAGGACAAGTACTGTTTAATTCCACTTATATGATGTATCTAAAGTAGTCAAGTTCACAGAAACAGAAAACAGAATGGTGACTGCCAGGGGAATGGGGAAGAGGGAAAAGGAGAGCTGTTGCTTAATGGGTGCAGGGACAAAAACGATGTGATCTAGGGTACAACAATATGAATGTGCTTACTACTGAACTGCATGAATAAGATAACTTTTATATTATATACTAGAGGCCTGGTGCACGAATTTGTGCATGGGCGGGGTCCTTCAGCCTGGCTGGCGAGCGGGGCCAATTGGTTGGGGCCAGCCGCCAGGGGGAGGGACTGCGGGAGGTTGGCTGGCCACAGGAAGTTGGCTGTGGGAGTGCACTGACCACCAGGGAGCAGCTCCTATGTTGAGCATCTGCCCCCTGGTCAGTGCGCATTATAGCAACTGGCCGACCGGTCATTCGGTCGCTTAGGCTTTTACACATATAAATTTTTTAACCACATAAACAAATAAGTAAAAATTTTAAAACTTTTAGGTGGAAATTTAAAAGATAATTATTTTAAGTCAAGACCATAAATGAATAGGCACTTAACAAAACAAACAAAAATCTCTCTGGAGAAAGGAAGCAGGTTATAAAGAGGTAACACTAGGGGTTTTTGTGGCAATAAAACTGTTTTGTATTTTGACTGTGATGATGAGTATATATAAAAGTGATAAACTGTATACGACTAAATACACACACACACACACACACACACACACAAATGAGTACAAGTATACAATACCAGTGAAGTTTGAAGGTTTGTGGATTGCATCAATATTAATATCCTGGTTTGGATATTATACTGTGCTTTTCCAAGAGGTTCCCATTGGGTAAAGTGGGTAAAGAGGACAGGGGCTCACCCTATTTTATTCCTTACAACTGAATGTAAATCTATAATTATCTCAAAATAAAAAGTTAAATTTAAAAAGTAAAAAGAAGGGAGACTCCAAATTCTAAAGAACTGAACCTTAAAATGGACTTGAATCATTCGAAATCATTTTACTGGAGACATCTGATATATAATCCAGTGTACTTTAAAATACCATGCATGCTTCTCAATGGCATGGAGATAGGTACTGGTGATTAAGGAAAACTAGACACAGCTTTCCTTTTAAAAGGTTTTCTCTCTTCCAATTTTCAGGGAAATAGTGCTTTCATGCTATCACTCCCAAACCAATAGCTTCAACTTATAATAAATGAATTAAAGACAAAAAGGCTTAACCTGCTCAGAAGATAAAATCTATATTTAAAAAGACATAATTTTCCAAAGTGAACTCAATGAAGTAAAAATATAAAGGAGTACTAATGCACTGTAGGGAGTGCTCTAAGACAAGAAAGGGCTCTGCAACAGAAAACATAATCCTAATAAGTCAACAATGTGCCTAGTATCCTAAGACCACTTCTGATAGCTTATCAGATGTATTCCTCCTAAAGCACTTTTCTTTGTTGTCCTTATAATACAAGTAGATTAAAATTTTCTTGACTGCATTTAACACTATGAATGCGGGATTATTTGACACTGTAAGTACTAGTAATATTCTTTGCCTGACTATATAGATATTGACATCAATAATACATGTACCTAATAATTAGGAAAAGTAAATTTTAAAATTAATGTTTTAACAAACCTCACGATATCAAAGAATTATACAACTAAGAAGGAATCTTAAATGGTCCTCTAATGACCAGTCCAGGATTATCCCTTAAACTGACTGAGAATGAAGTACCTAAACTCAAATTTACTTTTGTTGCTCTCGCTTTAAAAAAAAAAATAATATATCATGGAAAAAATTAAACTCCACTGAAAATATCTATAACTAACTTAGGTATCATGTTACTACTATTATTTTGAATTACCTGATAGATTAACACAACCCTGTCACTGAGCAGGGCCTCTAAAGATCTTGATCTGTTCTGGGTAAACAAGCCTGTCTCTAAGGTTCTACTCACCATTGGCAAACCCAGGAAACCTACTGGGTTAGTTCAGATGAAGAGAAGTGTAGGATCCTAAGAGTAGAGCAAGAAGAGATGTCCAAAAGCCCTAGAGGAACTTTTACTAAGAGGACAGGAGTAGAATATCTCAATTTTTTTCTTCAACTGTCTAGGTCCTACAGCTAACTTGAACACTCAGAATCCCAGTTTTTCCTTTCCATCTATAACTCATCTGATCCAACTTTCTAGAAATTAAGCAACAGTGAAGGGAGGAAGCCAGAGGCAGCCTTTGCTAGTGCTAAACAAATACAAAAAAATTTAAAGTACAATGCACAACACAGAAACTTTGGAGCATGCCATCCGTACAATCGCTTTAATTCCATGGAAGAAGTATCCCTTCTTCCTGGGCACATCTTGGAAGTCCTTTGGATTATTTCTCCCTATTGAAGGCTGTCCGTACTCTTCATCTTAAAGTAGTTTTGCCTAGATTTTTGCAGTGTTTGTTTACTTTTTAGTGGGACAAGAGGAAGGAGAGCTGTGATTTGTTCCAGCCTCCAAACAATACTAGAAATAGTCCTGCTTGAAATCTGCAGCTCATCAGCTCTGGTTGCCAAGTCACTCAGAAATTATATTCTGTGCTTTTGATTTTAATCCTTGGGAAAATTATTTATGAAAACTGAACTTCTCTCAATGTTTGGAATATATTAACTGAGTAAAGACAAGTCAAAGAATAGTACATATTGTTTGATCCTATTTGTTTAAAAAATTACATGTTTACATATGTACATAAAATGTGTAAGCAAACAAAATACTTGACAATGGCTATCTTTTAAAGATAAGATAGGAGATGAATGGCATTTTATGTATTCTTTATTATTTGCTTATTTTTTTAACAAACCGCTGGAAACACTTTTAAAAAATTTTTACTGCAAACATACTGTCTTTAAAATATAGTTTATTGCCCTGGCCGGTTGCTAAGTGGTTAGCACCAAAGGGTCTCAGGTTCAATTTCTGGTCAAGGGCATAAACCTGGGTTGCAGGTTTGCTCCCTGAGCCTGGGGCACGTGCAGGAGGCAACCAATCCCTGTGTCTCTCACACATAGATGTTTTTTTTCTCTCTCTCCCCCAACCCCCCATCTCCCTTCCTCCCTTCTACTCTCTCTAAAAAAATTCAATGGGAAAAATATCCTCAGTGAGGATTAACAAAAAAAATAGGTTTTCATTCTAT